CAAGCTTGATTACCAGCAGTTGAACTTGAACGATTTCCCCCGCCCTCCATGGTATGCGCGCCTTGACAGGACTTCAGACTGATGCGATGTGACCATGACTGTACTTGTGCCATAACTGGACTGGACTGGGCTGTGTGGTTGAATTTGAGCCTGCTTACTCCAACTGGTTCGAGTGTAGCCTAGTCTGACTGTGGGTATCGGCCTAGGCAAGACAGGAGTTATAGAATTTGCTGTGTTTGCTTTCCTGAATGTAAGGTTTTTGAAGCGCATGCTTTTGCGAAATGGCTGGAAGCTGCTTGACAAGAATGGAACTGAACCATATATCATACCGCTGTAAAGTTGGCAGCGGCGCTGAGTGTGTGCAATACACACTTGGATTTAGCATGTGGTCGATATGAATTGTCGGCTTTTTTGCCTTGCATGGCTTTATGCAATTGAGTGTCAGCAAGACCTGACAGCAAACAAATTTAATAGTTCCGGACTGGAGGCAGGCAGCTTTGCAATCCATAGCAAAGCCGCAGCTGTGAGTTAGAAGAAAAATACAAAACTGTGCAGTGATATTATATATTTATATTACTATGCCTGCCACACGCTGCACACTGAGTACACTGTACTAATATTACTACACAGACTATTACATGTACATGCTCTGGCGCCGGATGCAGGAGATGTGGATGCAACCGGACCAATGCAATGACCAACTTTGCAGAATGGCTGCCAGAGGTCTCACATGATCCGGAGAGTGCATTGCGCATGAAGCAGGTTGTCCAAAGGCAGTATAAACCACCATGTTGGAAGTTTGGATGTTGTGAGAAGACTGGTTTAAGAACTTCTCAGCAACGGCTTCACAAAGTCATGGTGAAAGCCTTAGTGGAGCAAGTGCAAACTTTGTGCAAAACCAATTCCACTCAGAATCTCAGAGAGCATTTGCTTTGTAACTTTTTCATTGTAGCTATAGCAGACGCAATCTTGAGTCTTAAGTCAAAGTCAAAGTCTTTGAAACATTCATTTCAGGATGGCACACGATGTGATGAGATCTGGAGACATCATGTTCAAAGTCAAAGCCACCTTCCGACCGACTCATGCTGTTGTGTTCGAAGAGATCAGTTGGTTCTTCATTGGAAAACCATTCTTCAGGCCTTACCTTTTGATTTTGTGCAGAGCTTCAGGCAACTCACCCGAATTTGAAACCGTTTGCAGTGATCAGGGCAAGCAACATGGTCTTTCTGCACAAGTGCAGAGCTGTGTGCAGAGCTGTTGTCAAAGCATCAAAGAAGCTGTTCAGAGATACATGTTGTGGTGGAAAACTATGGCATTCAATCATTGAATTCTGTGCGATTGGATGGTACCACTGGCATTTTCGCACCAGTGTGCCTTTGTTTGGCCAAGCAGGACGTTTGCAATTAATACTTCTTTACGTTACTGAGTCACCACACTAATATTTCACATGTCATTGATTCCATTCAGAATCGAGGTGTCCACTTGCCGAGACATCTGCAGATGATCCACTGGACGTGGTGGACATTGAGGACATAAGCATCGCTTGTTGTCACAGTCGCGTCAATGTCAATGCCATTAACGCAATAATACAATATAATATACTATATGTAAATTGGTAGAAGATAATGATGTCATGGTGCGGGTCTGTTCAGTTCTGTTTGTCCTACTATAATAGAATCATATTTATGCGCAGGCCGAAGATGACATTGATCTAGATCCAGGTGAACCTGTGGACCACAATGTGTTGGAGGAGCTTTTCCTTGATGGGGCCACAGGAAGAGATGAGGACAAAGAATTTGTACCTGTAAGGCCAGAGCCAGACACTGCTGAGTCAAGTGCTGGATCAGGCCACACCAGGGTTGGTAACACTATTCATGCACGTGGCGTTGGCTGTGGCACAATAAGCTACTTGCTCCACTGGGATCCAGCCAGCTACGCAGCCAATTGTAAAGTACATGAAGACTGTTATGTCACCGCTGCTTTGTCAACAGTAGAAGAGCATGAGTTGGAAACATGGTTGGCCAAAGGCCCAATGTTTTTCACTGCAAAGGATCATATCATGGCAAAGCCAATGGGGTCCTACAACAGACGCAGGATTTGAAAATACTATGTGATGCGATCAAAGGTCAGGTGAAGGTTTTTCTTTAGTTTTGGACCGGGACATAAGTTTTCGTTCGAGATGCTGGCGAGCTGCATTATTCACATTGACATTACAGGTTCTGTTGCAAGGCTACCAGGCTACTGACAAGGACATGTGATATGTTGATGTTGATGTCTTTTTGCACTGGTGATTGCTGGTGTTATGTATGTCATCACTGGCTCATGCTGCGTGCCATGCTGCCATTTCTGGTAGCACCAGTGTCAGACTACAACTCCACAAGTGGTTGTGATTTCCTTGTGCAAGCGCTACGCTATACTATACCATCAGCTACCAAGTTCCTCCAAGGACACTGTGTGGATTTGGCCTGGTTGTGGTGTAAGTGAGCTGAAGAAGTTTGTTTAAAACAAAGAATTTGATTAGCGAGAAATACCATAATATGGATTTTTAAGTTCGTATAGAAAATGTTGTTTTCTATATTTTTTTGTTTTTACAAACAATATAAAATATTTATAAAACCTAAAATTTGGTTTTGTAATTAAAAACTATGAAAACAAAAATAATTTCATATTTTTTTAAGGATAGTGTAGGATATCGTAGGAGCTATTTTTTTTAAAAAATGTTTTTTTTTTGTGTTTTTTGAAGCTTTTCAGATAGCGTAGGATAGTGTAGGGTACCGTAGGAGCTATAGAAAAGTTAGTTGTTTTTATTGTTTTAAGCTTTTCAGATAGCGTAGGATAGTGTAGGATATCGTAGGAGCTTTTAAAAGTAAGTTTTTTAATTTTTCAAGCTTTTCAGATAGCGTAGGATAGTGTAGGATATCGTAGGAGCTTTTAAAAGTAAGTTTTTTTAGTTTTTTAAGCTTTTCAGATAGTGTAGGATACCGTAGGAGCTATTCAGAAGTTAGTTTTTTTTGAAATTTTTAAGCTTTTTAAATAGCGTAGGATAGTGTAGGATATCGTAGGAGCTATCAAAAAGTTTGTTTTCAAGTGTTTTAAGCTTTTCATATAGCGTAGGATAGCGTAGGATACCGTAGGAGCTTTAAAAAACTAGTGTTTTTTATTTTTTTCAAGCTTTTCAAATAACGTAGGATAGTGTAGGATACCGTAGGAGCTTTCAAA